TGCTGAGATAAAATAATTATAATAAGCCTTAAATTAAAGTGGCTACTCTTGCCATAGAGGTGGAGATGCCTTCTTGTCCCATCTACAATCTTCTTAACAAGCAAATTAGTGGCAGATCTTGCGAGCAGTTTTAGCACACATGCCCACACTGGTGATAATTGGTTGCAGCCATTAAATTAACCCATGGTACGGTTATTACAACTACCACTTATCATCACATCTTAATAAGCAATCACGGAGTTAGACTTGAAAGCAGAATCACAAATTTATTAATATAGTAAGCACATTTATTTTGTTCATTTGCTTGCATATCTTCATATACAACCTTTGTATGTATTTTAATAACTCAAACAAGAATTTTCCTATGGGGCATGTGTTGGTATTTTTCATCAGACAGTTAGAAATTTTCTGCTACCTTAAACTTATTTTTTTTTCATTTTATTTCTTTTTAGTATTATATAAAGTCCAGGTAGGTGACTTAGTGAAGATTTTCCTTTCCGTGGTCATTGTTAGAATGGCTTAGAAAATTTTTATAAACCAGTTTTGAATATATCTTGTCATATATGAAGAAAACTTTAATCACAAAAAGAGAAAATATTTACTTTTGCACAGTGTAGGTACTTTATAATTATTTTGCCATCTGACTTGGTCCTTCACACTCTTTTAAGAGCCTTCAAAATAAGACATTATTCTATATTTTTAATCATATTTCTTCGCTTTTAGCTTTTTTTTCTGTTTTTGTCACGGCNAGAAGTGTTGATGTCTAGGGAAGACAGATCCAGATCTATTCACATTTTCCATCCATATCTACTATAAAGGAGAAAAAGATTTTCATTAAAAAAAATGAAGTAACTGATAGAGAATTTTGTTCCACCTATTTGGGTCCCTGTTTCATTTAACTATTAAGACAAGGTCCCCAAGTTTACACTGGAGGAGTCTCATGAAGTGCCACTTTTCTTCCCTCCCCGAGTCTCCCCCCACCAAACTTTTATGTGTAAAGAAAACAATAAGTGTTTTGTTATGCTTTGATATCTATAGAAATAGTATTTTTTAAAAAATCACTGTCATTACTGTGACTCCCTGAAGTAATGCTTTTGTATCACAGATAGGAGGCTTGTTTATAAGGCAGATATTTATCTTTATTTCATTGATTGGATTGTCTCTCTCTCTCTTTTACGTGTACCTGTGTAAAGACTGTCATTTTAGAAGTGAGAGGCTATGTATGCATCTGGTTTTTGTTTACTTGCCTTTAGAACAACCCCTAACAATCCTACTGCACCATAAGCATTTTTCATTTTCTTCANGAGCGCCGCCGCGCTTCCCAAGCGGCGCACTATCCAGTGCACCACCGGGCCGGCCCTAAAGGACAATTCTACACCTTAAAAATTCCTCTGTGCCTCTTCCTATGCAGTCCCAGCCACCCACCCCGGGCCCTAGGCAACCACACTAATCTGATTTCCGTCACTCTAGTATAGATTTATCTTCCTTAGAGTTTCATGCAAGTAAAATAATACGGTGTGGATTCTCCTGGGTTGAGCTTCCTCCAGTCACCCACATCACATGGATCACTAGTCATTCCTTTTTCCTGCTATTCTATTGAATAGACAGCAGTTTGTTTTTCACTCGCCCATGAGTAGTCTCATTTTTTGCTGTAAAAATATTGTTGATAAAATTAGAAGACATGATTGAACATAATGTTAATAACTCTACCAACGCTATTAACCAACAGTTAACCCTAACAGTAACTATTGTAGCTATTTCCAATTTTGTAAATTTTCTTCCCAGCCTGATTTTTAAAAGTAATTATAGGTACAAAAATACAATTTTTTACTCTTTTTTGTACTTTTTATATTATTACTGTTTATATAAAGCTATCATTAATTAATATAATTGTGTTTCTATATAATGTGGTTTTTTTTTTTCATTTTTTGCCAGCGGGGGGGCAGCTGGCTGGTGTGGGGATCCAGTCCCTTGACCTTGGTGTTATAACACCATGCACTCTTAACCAACTGAGCTAACTGGCCAGCCCCTCTAATGTTCTTAATTTATTTTAAAAACTATTCAATATTCTTACAGTCTTGTTTGCTATATTTGACTTGTCTAATTGTAGGATAGTTTGAATTTTTTTTTTTCCTCTGAAAGTGTTGTTAAGGTAACACCATAAAGCTTTTCTGCTATTGAGATTTTTCTTGGAAAAAAATTTCCAGCATTGAAATTATTGGCGATTACATAAGAGATTTCTTTTTTCTTTTTATGTCCTTAGACAGTAATAGAGTTGGGTTGGTAATAGAAGTTCCTAGACTTTGGGTTAGTTGAGCCTGACTTTGAGTCTGGGTTATGCAACCCTGAGAAAGTTATTTCACCTCTTGGAACCTGTGTTGTTTTTTCAGATATTAAAATTAGAAGATTATGTACATAGATGACCTAGCACAGTATTGCCGAATAATCATGTTGTTTTCCAGAAACATTATACTAATTTATAGCACCAACAACCAGTGTATAAATGTTCCTTAAGTTTATCATTGAGAAATTTTTTTGCTAATTTAATAGAAGTGGTCTGAGATTTACTTTAATTTGCACATGTTTGATTTCTAGGAAGGAAATTACTGTTCTATGGATTTGTGTTTCCTCCTGTGAGAAGTGCCTGTTGTATTTTTGTTGTTCATGTATCTTTTAGTAGAGCTTTTAATTTCCCCTCCATTGTTTGTCCTTTCTTTCTGGCTTCATTGCTTTTTCCTTGTAAAGAAATTAAACTTTTCCCATTTTAAAATTCCCAGTTGTTTCCTTTTGCAATTTCTGTTGCTTCAAAGTGGTGCTTGTTTTCCTGTTTCCCAGTCTCCTGCGGTCATTTTCTGTCCTCCTTGCAGGTCGTTCTCATCGGTATTGCCAACAGTTCGTCCTCAGCTGTGTACGTGTGTGTGGTTTTCTTTTTCTTCTTAATAGCTTTATTTCTCACCAGAATGTGGTTCCTAAATCACGACAGAAAATGAGTTAATCTTCGATATGATTCAGAAAACACTTGGCTTAGGTTGTTTAGATACTGGTTGTTGGTAACAAAGTCCTGTAGGTGCTTCCCAAAACAGCCTATGTCAACGTCCACTTACTATCTTGAGGCCAAGATAAGAGCTTAAAAATTCTTTAGAGAAATTAAAAACAGA